AATGGAATCATAGATGAATAAAGTCATGTGACGTTTACACTACATGTATCAAGTGTCATGTAAAAGTACCTGATAAATCTATCGGAATCTACCACTCTGAAGCATTGTCGAAACAGTAAATCGGTCACCAACCCAAAACCTGTTAATATAATGTACTGTAAATATAATAGACGTGGAACAAATGCAAGCTTGGACAGGCGAAACTACTATCATTACAGCAAATGTAAAGGCTAGACACAGCGTTATTGTACATAGCACTTGTAGTTAAGCGGGTCCAATACTGACACTCATCTGTACATAACTTGTTCAGAAGAGGTAGCAACTGTACAATATTTAACAGCATTTGTCAAGCAGGTCCAAAGATGACATTCATATGTTTAAAACTTGTATAGAACGCCTGGCAACTGCCCGATTGCAAATAGCATTTTTCAGCAATTTCAAGAATGACAAAAAAAATGTCTAAAGAGCAATGGCATATTTGTAAAAACAAAGAAGCAAGTCCAAGACCGGTACCATTACAAGCGTTCTGGTGTAGAGCGACTAGCCATGGCACGATTGTCAAAAACATTTGTTTAGAAGTCAACGAATGACACAAATTTATAAAATAACTTGTCTAGAGAGACTAGAAACTGCACATGTGTGCACATAGTTCCTATGGCAAGACAGAAATTGATCCCAAAGTGCACGAAAGACACAAATATAAACAAAACGTGTTTAGCTGGATAGCAATGGCACAATTGTGCACATCATTTATTCACTAAGTCCAAGATTGACACAAACTTATAAAGACTGTGACTGAAGTGGCTTGCGATGGCACTATTGAAGACAGAATTCATTTAGTTAGTCCAAGAATGACACCAGTCAAAAATCAGACGTTGTCTAGAGTGGCCAACAAAAACACGATTGTATATATACACATCATTTGTTTTACAAGTCCAAAAATGACTCTCATATACAGAACTTGACTAGAAATGCTAGCAATCGCACATTCGTTCACATCATTTGATTACTAAGTCCATGTAAGACAACAATACAAACAGAATTTTCCTAGAAGCCTAGCAATGTTAAAAGTGTATACAAGGACTTGCTTAGCAAGCTTGGTTAACGCGTTTAATTGCTTCTCATGTCCAACCATGACAGATGTGTTTATTTTATTGACAGGCCCAACCATGACATATGTGTTTAATTGATTGACAGGCCCAACAATATAACGGAAAAATGTCTTCTTTCTTAACAAAGCCAATCGTGTCAAATGGTATACTAAAACTTGCCTAGAAAGTAAACCATGAAACCCGTTATATAGAACGACCAACCGAGACGTTCTTGTATAATAGTTTTAACAATGCTTAATGTGACTATCTTATATTCCAGTTTAGTAAGATGAGCCAAGATACAATTATACTTGTTTGAAATAAAATATGTATTAACTAAAATAAGTGTTATCAAGTATATTATTATTACATTTACTGTTAATAAGTGTATTAATAATCAATCACAACAGTTGTTTAGCAAGCGTATTAAAATACAATTCCTTATTTATTTATTTATTTATTTGTATCATTTGACTATATGCATATATAGATAAAAACAATACAACTGTTTACTTGTAAAGCACTTGTATTAATAACACAATATACATCTATAAATGTTAACCTGTTGAGCAAATGTATTATCATCACAATTTTGTTTAGAACGTATTTTAAGAATACATTTGTAAAGTTGTCTAGTAAGTGAATACATTGTTTAATCCTTCACTTGTTCAGCAACGCTATTAATAATGATAAAACGACTTTTGTTTAGCAAGTATATTGATGATGCAAATATACATTATTTTACTTGTTTTCAAAGTGTATTATTCTTATTATGATTTTTCGTGTGTTTATCAAGTGTATTTATACTTGTTGAGCCTGTGTTTTAATGATTCCGTTGTTCATTTGTTTAGAAATTGTGAAAATAATACATGTACAGTTATTTACTTGTTAATCAAGTGTATTTATACAAATGTTAATGTGCTTGGTATTAAAATACAACATGTGACATGTTAGGTCCTGTGCTCAAATAATAAAATCATTTACTTGTTTAGTAAGCATATTTAAAATCCAACTTTTTATCATGTTAGTAAGTGTATTTGATAAAATTGGTCAATCTTAGAAAGTGTACTGAAAATACAATTTAAATATTTATTGAGCAATTGTGTTATTGATACACTTGTTTACTTGTTAAACAAGCGTATAAAACATATAATTGTTTACAAGTCCAACCATGACACAATTGTATATTATTATAACTAGTTTAGCATGCCAACTGGGAACGCGCAGGTGTTTCAACGTGGAGCTGTACAGGAAAAGTGTCACCATTATTCTGATTTATATCCCGACAGGCGACGAGGCAGCGCCATGCAAGGTACTAAGTAAACCTCTAACCTCATCACATCATATAAACAGTCTGCATTGGAAAATGCATTAACTTATGAAATATTCAGCAAGGACTGTACCCAGCCACTCTTTACATGTGCAATTATGCAAAAAGCAAGTCCGTTTGTTGCTTGCAAACGCCAAGTGCCATACATCCGCACTGAGTGTTAATTTGCATTACGCGCATCCGTTACGTCACACCTGGGATTAGATAGCAACATCATCTGTCTCCTACAGAATAATCCAGGTACACTGTAATTAGCGGTGTTAATTACATGTTCCGGTTGTGGTGTCCCAGAGCGTTGCCTTCTCAACTGTTACAATAGATACAATCTCTGTAGTTCATGTTTTAGCCTGCCCACACCACAAATCATATTTATGTAGAACATCTCATCATTCATCATCTTCTCATCTATTCACTTGAACGCTCATTCAATCATCCGTCAATCAATTCGTGCGTTCATCATACAATCAAAGTATGATATAATTAGGTGTTGACTTGTGGCGGAGAGCGCGAGGGGAATGGGGTTCGGTTGACTTATGGCGGAGAGCGCGAGGGGGGTGGGGTTCGGTCTTTATCGACGAATTGTCTGTAAGTATCAATTTGTGTTTCCAATTTACGTTGTTATTCCCACGGAATATTTACTTTGCTGGAAAATTGACTCTCTACCATCGTTGAAATTGGAATATAAAGCTAATATTGACCAAAATCGCGATCAAGCTAAGACACTTGTGTACCGAATACCGTCGTTTCATTTTCTTCTCCAGAATAGACCACGGACTAAGGACCCAGTTTGGAGTGTTACTCAGGGCTAAATCACCACTGGCAATCCGCCTCTGTGTAGGTAATCCTAGATACCAGTAGATTCCGAGCAAGTCTGGAATCAGGAAATGCCGGCAAACAATCGCATAGGAAATAAAACGGTTGGGTTTGAAAGTAAGTGTTTTAGGAGATCGATGAAGTGGCCATTATTCCGTGACGATGGGGACCAGTCTACCCACGCCGACTGAGGGTACGTCTAACAACAATGCCGCCCAAACAAAGATGCATGTTCAAGAAACAGCAATAATTTCTGCTATTGATTTTTTTATCTAAATTATACCTTCCCTTTGCAAAGTTCGACCGTAGAAAGCATGCTCGCCCAGTTTGACTAGATTTATTGTGACTCAACGGTTAGAGAGATAAAATGCCACTGGTACCGGACACCCTGCACGTGCAAGATACTGTTAATATTTTAATAACAGGAACCATTCCCGTCGCCAAAATGTCATGAATGATAGATGATTGAATGTTCTTACTCTGTCCAGGTATAGGTAGTGGGTGTGCATTGTCTACTGGCATGTCGTGAACTTGTTGAAGCTATGATAATCATCTTCAATAATGCATGCTATGTAGTTAATGATGATCAGCTTCAATAATGCATGCAATATAGCCTATTGCACGCAGGGATATTACCTGTGGAAAAGTGAATATAATTACAAAACCACAAAACACAAATGTGCCGTGTAGGGTAAGCATCAGCGACCGGCTGTTGGCTTGATCGGTCGAGACACCGAAACAGGTGTCAAGCCTTGGTGCTTTGGCTGCGTGTCGCCATTTTAGTGTCACTGCTATAGAGCTGGTGCACAAAATTTCAATGACGTCATACAGTTTGGCCAAGATTTGGCAGGCAATGTATATAAACATAATGAATCCTGCTAGTAACCAGTGAAGTTTAGTGGGGAAGTATTAAAGTTTATATGAATACAGAGTACGGCGGAGGGGCTGTGATGTGTGGCGAGGGCAAGATGTAAGGGGTAAAGGGTCTCAATTGTAGTATCTAGGGCTAGTACTCATTGATCCGAGATATCGCTGTTCTGCCTCACTCATATCAATGGCTATATACCGTGGAAGTCATGTAGCGAAACCTTCTCACCATCAATAACATTAGACTATAGGAATTTAGTTGATAATCACAAGCTACACGTAAGCGCTGTAGCTTGACGCCTATATACCGACGCAATCAATTCTCAACGTTGGTCTTCCAATGCAGTTAATTAGACCTCCTTAAACCCAGATTATCTTGCACAAGTTGTATTGTTTTAACGATCTGACAAACAGTATTAGGCAGCAAGAGGTAAATAGCATTACAGGCTCGATTGACCGGAATCTACGGAATTTCCTGCAAAATGTCGAATCTGGGATAAAACAGTTGTTTTAATGTTTCTCACACAGTTTTCTAACCCTGTGCCCCTCGATTGATTAATCTTGAGTATAAAAAGCTCGTAAGATCCCGTTAGATTGTTCGGTCTGCCGTTTGCATTGTGGCACTGCTCAAATTAACCGCTAATTACACGCTCATTCACTCGTGCAGATGTACAGGCGAGGCAGCCACTAAGACATTATCACAGGTGTCGCGCGTGGCGGCGATCAGCCCTATCTCTCGCCGCGTGGCTGACGAGCCCTCCAAAATCATACAAGTGCCGCAAATATCGTCGAAATAATGGAATTATGTAATTACATATGATACATTAATGTGATCAACTGCGCGATAACAATAATAAAGGATATTTAAGAAAATATGGAAAAAAAATCAAAGGACTTACCTCGACTTTTTGGTATAACATGGAAAACTGTCCACCACATAAATGTCTTCCAAATCCAAACACACCACCCTCGCTTCCTGTTGGCAGACATGGCTACTTGTCGCTAGAGTCTGAAACAAGTTTGAAAAATAGCAGTACATTTTGTAGCTACGACTCCTCGGCGAACACACATTTTAGGTTGCAGTGGCTGACTACGACTGACGAGTGGAAGACTGCACCACCTCACTACCGACATAGCGAGGGCGCTGCCTGGCTAACCTGTCACACTCACGGTTCGATTTGTGCTTTATATATAACATTGATTGGCATAACTTACTTGTGCCCTGTTTACAGTTGTTTTCCTAAGCTCAAGTATAATGTAGTAATTGAGATCAAACATTGCGCAGATAAAAGTGTGTACATATCCTAGCTTCCGGAGTAACGAAAGCTTAGTGGCGCGCACACGGCTGCTTGTGCCTCATCAATAATCCAAACGACTCCCAATTTGATTTGTTGTACGGCAGGACTCGATACCGCTCTGATTTGGAGCCCGGGAGGTGGGACTGACGTGACAACATGCAGAGCTAGCACTTAGGGCTAGTTGGGGTGTTAACTGTTGGCTGATTGTTCCCCCGTGTGCTGTATAGGCCTCGGGTGGACCAGGGAATGTCTGACGTCGGCACCAATCGCTATCGACGCATGTATATTTACGATAGAAAGTGAAAATGTATCGACTGCGAGCCGGCTAAACTGTTTATAGTGTGTTTGTGCGATGTTTATTTTTAACGGAGGTAATTCCAATATAAGAAAACAGAACAATGTGTTTGGTTTATGCTGATGTTCTTGATGAAAAGATAAACTACCGAATAAGTTTCCTATCGAATAAGTGTTTTTTCCACACAGCAAAAATAGGATCGTGTTTAAGATGTCGGTAAAATAATAGGATCCACGTGGTATTAGTATTGTGTACATCGTCAGAATACATGCAGGATCAACGTGGTTTTAAGAGTTGTATACAAAGTCAATATAGGACGAACATGGTAAAAGTGTGGTACGAATCTGGTATAGATCGTAGTATCACCCGTACGATCCATATCAACAAGTCTTGTATTCCATTGGGATCGTTACAAGGTACAATATAATCCTCATTGAACTCTCAGTAAATTGTGAATTGGAATAATAGCTATCGATCAAAATTGAAGAAGTCTTGAATTGGGATCATAAACAAATGTCCACATTTAATCAGTGTTGAATTAAGACCATTACAAAATATCCAAACTGAAGATATCTTTGATTTAGATAATCAAAAATTATCAAATATGAAGAAGTCTTGAATTGGGATCATTACAATAGGTCCACATTCAAACAGTGTTGAATTAAGACCATTACAATATATCCAAATTGAAAAAAAATCTTTAATTTGGATTATTAAAAGAAAAATCAAAATTAAAGAAGTCTTGAATTGGGATCATTAAAAAATGATCAAAATTGAAGAAATCTTTAATTGGGATAATTGAAAAATTATCAAAATTGAAGAAGTCTTGAATTGGGATCATTACAATAGGTCCACACTAAATCAGTGTTCAATTAAGATCATTACAATATTTCAAAATTGAAAAAATATATCTTTAATTGGGATAATTAAAAAAAAAATGAATTAGGATCATTACAATAGGTCCACATTAACGCAGTCTTGAATTAGGGCCATTACAAACGATCCATATTGAAGAAGTCTTGAATCGGGATCATTAGAATAGGTTCTGATTAAATCAATCTTGAATTAAAAACATAACAATATATCCAAATTGTAGAAAACTTGTTGTTGGGATCATTACAATCGATCCACATTGACGAAGTCTTAAAATGGGATCATACCAATAGATCCTCATTAGATATGTATCAATCGGGACCATAACCATAGATCCCTACTGAAGAAGTCTTGTATGGATCGTTACAATACACCAAGGTGGCCGGAGTTCAATTCCCCGACCGAACGTTAGAAGGTATGGAGTTCACTTGCCCAACCACGAAGGTTTTCTCCGGGTACGCCGATTTCCTCCCACATTAAGACTCCCGCGCGCTCTTACATCTAGACCAGCAAGAGTAATAAATATAAGTTGAAATAACTTATTTCACAAGTATTGAAAACTAAATATAGCATTTATTTGAATTCAATACGATCCATACATATGAGAGGATCCAAATTAAAACTTGCATACGCATGCAAGCTCATGTGACCTGCATACTATCAACGTTAAAATAGTATATTATACCAGGCCTATTTAAACCTCTAACAGAAAAATGATCCCAAGGCCTAAACCCACCTCGAATTTGGAAACAACCCTAGATTTAAATATACATGTATCTCTAACAATACAAACAATCACAGACCTCAAACAAATAGATAAAAACAACTACAGGCCTACATCCGCCTCTAATGGGCTAAACAACTCCAGGCCAACGTCCACCTCTAATGGGCTAAACAACTCCAGGCCAACGTCCGCCTCTAATGGTCTTTACAACTCCAGGCCAACGTCCACCTCTAATGGGCTATACAACTCCAGACCAACGTCCACCTCTATCGGACAAAGCAATTCCTGGACAACAACCACCTCTTACTAGCAAAAACAGCTCCAGGTTTTCACCCACCTCTAACTAGCAAAACAACTCCAAGGTTTCACCCAACTCTTACTGGCAAAACAACTCCAGGTTTTCAGCCAACTCTAACTAGCAAAACAACTCCAAGCCAACGTCCACCTCTATCGGACAAAACAATTCCTGGTCAACAACCACCTATAACCAGCAAAAACAACTCCAGGTTTTCACCCAACTGTAACTGGCAAAAACAGCACAATGCCAACACGTCACCTCTATCGGGCAAAACAAGTCTTGGTCAACAACTACGTCTTACTAGCAAAACCAACTCCAGTTCACACCCACCTCTAACTAGCAAAACAACTCCAGGCCAACACCCCACCTCTAACTGGCAAAACAACTCCAGGCAAACACCTTACCTCTATCGAGAAGAAAACAACTAGTCAACAACCACCTCTAACTGGCAAAACAACTCCAGGCTTTCACCCATTCCTGATCGTACAACAATGTACCACCTGCTGAAGACACGACTTTCGGTATAAGTTTACTACCTATTCGGGGCACCAAACCAGGTCTTATCATAACCATCAATACGAATACTATTCTCAAACTACCCATCTATTCTCAAAGCCACCACCTTCTCTCTAACTAACCACCTTTTGCGAAAAGCGTTAACCTTTGTCGTGCACAATGTAACGGATATATTGGCCCGAGATGTCTGCTAGGAGCACGTTACTTTCTGATCCCAATGAGTTGTCATATCCCCGACACACCCTCTCTATCCTTGTCGTGAGCTGAGATCACGTGTCCGACACGTCCTCCTATCCCTGTTCCCTTTTGGGACGTCAAAGGTCTGACCTTGGTCCCGATGGAACGTCACGTGCTGCCCTTTCGTGATCCTAAAAGACGTGACTAGGACAATGGCTAAACTGAGTTTCACAATAAGGAATATTTGCCTGAAATATTGCATTTGCAATATTTTCTATAAAAATGGTCTGTCTGGTGTATTGTCTTTTTACTAAAATGTGTATACTATTCCCTTTTAAAAAAGCTGCCTTTGTTTAGCTTCGTCTTTGTCTATAGCGTTGTCTTTTTAATAGCGTCTTGTCAATAGCATTTTCTTTTTAATAGTGTCGTGTCAATAGCATTGCCTTTTCATATCATTTTTATGATGTCTTCAATATTGTCTTGTCTATAACATTGTCTTAATTATAATATTTTTTGAACCACCTTTTTTTAAAGATGTTTGTCTACCATTGACTTTGCCAATACATCGTTATATTGTCTTGTCTATAACATGGCCTAAGTAATATTATTTTTCTTTTGTACTCTTTATCAAATTGCTTTTGTCTTACATTGTCTTTGTCTGCAAGTGTCTTTGTCAGTTACATTGTCTTTACCTATTACATTTTTTTTGTCTATAAAATTGTCTTTGTCCGCCAGTGCCGTTAAGAATGCGCGTGCTAGGACAAACGATCAGACACAGGAATGTAACGCAGTACTACACTGTTATATTGGTGGTTCTGTATCGACGTCATCAAAGCCTTCTAACAGGTTTACGTAATATCATTGGACAATATCTCTCCTCACTGAAATACGTAGTAGTTTACGTGTAATAAAAATAGTTTTTTTCCCATCTGTATAGGAAGTGGAGAGATTACCAATGACTGTAAAGTGGTATGGTGGCAGGCTTATAAGGTAGAGCGTTACTCGAGTCGCATGTACAAGCGTTAGTCGGTGTGTGTTTGTGAAGGTTTGTCAGTAGATTTAACTTCACCTCTGAGTGGAGTTGTCGGTACCAATGTGATGGCGGTCTCTGTGCGCGTGCTGACTGGGTAGGCGAGGACAGACTGTCGTCACTGCCGTCAGATAGCGCCGCAAGCGGTAGGTAAGCTTTTGTCAGACGTGATCACGTGACACAGTATCGACCGACCCGGCGTTACTTACTTGTTGTATATGTTAAAATTTCAGCAAATCATCCCTACCGTTGCCATTTAAACCCGGCAAACGCTTCCATGGCTGTGATCAGATTGGGTTAATTCCTTGTTCAGCTACAAAAATAACCCAGATGTAAATTTTATTGAGACGTACTTGTAAGATTTCGTTAAAAACACTTGCGCACTGGTATTTTAATGCTCTGATATTGAATCCTTTGCAGATTCCTCTTTTTTTCTAATCACCTGTTTCAATGTGAACAAAAAGATAATATACACCTAACATAAAATACAAGATGTGTAATGCCAATAGCTGATTGATATACCTTACATATAAACATTTACTTCCATGTCTGTAGAACTACAAACAGATGTCTTTCTTGTGAATCCAACACGGATGTGCTACAAATCATACCGACAGGACAGTATGTGGTGCAATTAAGTTAACATTATACTGTACTTATTGAGCAGAAAATAGTGTACCGCCCGTACAACCCATTTGTATACCTGGGACACATTAACTACAACTTCCCGTGTATCACCTCATTGGCAGTAATAATAAACGTGTATTACCTAATGGACAGTAACAGTGCACGTGTATT